TGCGGCGTTCTGTTGCGTCTAGCGTGTGGGGAGGGGTCAGTTGGACCCCCCCTCCCCCTGCCGTCCGGCTCCCGAATGGGCTGGAATGCCCAGGTCATCAGACCAGTTTCGGTCGCCAATGGGACGTCATTAAGCTCCGCCAAAGCGAGCCTCAAGGACGTCACCCCAAACGGCCGACTCGTCTCGTCTCGTCTCGGCCGGCGCCGGCTCTCCCCCAGCAAGACAGTGAACGCGACGGTTAGTGTATGTAGGTTGGACCACCGGCTGGAATGACTGGATCCGGTTATACTCTGACCACGTGGTGTGGGCGTCACATTTCTGTTGGCTTAGACCCGGCGTCGGCAAGGCGGTCTAGATGACATTAACAGGGTCAACATGTCGCCAACTGGTCGGTGCGTGTGCATGTCATCGCGGCCTCGGTATGGTATCGATATATACCTGGCGCAATAGCTGCGCCTGCCAGACATGCCAAGTTCAACGCGTATAGCCCAGCAGGAACGCAGCGCGGCAAACTCGCTGACTAGTGCTCGCGTCAGACGCGAAAGCCGGACATGCGGGGAATCTGTGGACCCAGTGGTGCTATTTGCTTACGGCCTGGGCGGCCGTAGCGGTGATAAAAGCTACACCGCCGACAAACCGACAAACAAGGGAGGGACCATGGCCTGGGACGGACGGAGAGGAGGGGAGGGGAGGAAAGAGGAGAGGAGAGGAGAGGAGGGGCGAGGAGAGGAGAGGAGAGGAGAGGAGAGGAGAGGAGAGGAGAGGAGAGAGAGGGAGAGAGAGGGAGAGAGAGAGGATAGAGGGCGGAAGAGAGAGAGAGAGGAGGGAGAGGAAGAGAGAGAGAGGGAGAGAGAGAGAGAGAGAGAGAGAAAGAGAGAGAGAGAGAGAGAGAGAGGGGGAGAGAGAGAGAGAGAGAGAGAGAGAGAGAGAGAGAGAGAGAGAGAGAGAGAGAGAGAGAGAGAGAGAGAGAGAGAGAGAGACAGAAAGAGAGAGAGAGGGGGTGCGGCGACATGGATAAGGGAACGTGCGGCCGAGCGGGCGGACGCGCGGAAAGACGACCTTGCGTGACTCATAACGCACACCGCGGCGCCGGCGCGGCGGGCCGGTCAGGCAAGTGCAAACAGCAGATAGCCCGGCACGGCAGGCTGTGGTACTGCGATTAAACAATCCTAAGCTTGACTTCGGGGGCGTACTCATAATTAGACTCGTACATGATCCTACGCCGTCGACAGTGCAGAAGGGTGGAAGCCAAGCGACAGGCTGTGGAAAATGGTCGATGCCAGAGAAACTGTCGTTGGACGGTTCCGGCACGGGGCTGACATTGGATACCGCGGTGCGGCGCGGGGCCGTTTCGCGAAAAAACAATCAGTCCGCCGAACGGCGCCGTGCCGGGGTGACGGCAGCCATTCGGCGAGAGGTCGCGGACGGTACGACACGGAGACCGTTCCGTGCTCCACCGCTGCCGAACATGATAGTGAACCCGTTGAGTGCGCGCGATAAACCTAATGGCGAAGTGCGGCTCATTTTAGATCTATCACAGTCGAGAGATGTCGGGGTCAACGCCGGGATAGACCCAGACGAGTTTCGTGTGACGTACACTACACATCATTCGACGAGGCCGTGCGGTTGGTTTTCCTAGCTGGAGGCGCCGGGACCTTGCTGTTCAAGACCGATGTTAAAAATGCATTCAAACTTATACCTGTCCGGCCCGGCCAGTGGGCGCTACTGGGGTTCTGTTGGGACGGTTTACACTACCAGGTTTGTCTGCCATTTGAGGCTAGAAGCAGTCCACGGATTTTCAATGATTTTGCCACATGTTTGCGCCTATGTGTTCCAGGATCAGACATCGGACGTGTATATACGCAATTATTTAGATGACTTCTTCGGGATAGGGCGCGGAGGATCGGACAGTGCCGACGTAGCGTATGCGAGACTGCGAGACATTTGTGCGGAAGTGTGCGTGCCGCTGGCCGAGCGGAAATGCGCCCCGCCATCAACACGGATGGAGCTTCTCGGGTTGTGATCGACACAGAAACAATGACCCTAGCGTTGCCAGACGCCAAGCTAGTGGGCACCCAGGAGTACTAAAGACACTGTTCGGGCGACAGAAATGAACACAGCGGGAACTGCTGTCGGTGGTGGGACGTCTAGTGCACGCCAGCAAGTGCGTCCCGCCGGGGAGGGCGTTCACTAGACGCCTGCTAGATGCGGCGCACTCTGTTAGCGGACCGAACCGCCGGGTGCGGATCACGGCCGATGTACGGGCGGTTTTACGGTGGTGGGCCACTTTTTGCCGATGTGGAACGGCATTTCCCCCCCCCCCCTCCCGCCACCGGGCGAGTACGACCACTGTATTGTGATGAACACGGACAGCTCACGTCGGGGGATGGGGGCGTGGCACGGAGACGAATGGTGGATGAGTGTGACGTCGCGCCATCCATGACGTGGCTGGAGCTCATCCCCGTCATGGTGGCATGTTTGGTGTGAGGAGAGGGATGGGGCGGGCACCGCGTGCTGATCCGGTCCGATAACATGGGGGTGGTGGGGGTCTGGGGGGAGGGGATGGTCGGGGTCGCCACTGATTATGGCGCTGCTGCGTCAGCCCCTGTTCTGGACGGCGTTCCATGAGTCCGCTGTATCCGTCGAGTACGTGGCAACGAAAGAGAACGGCGCGGCCGACGCGCTCAGTCGGCACGACTTGGCGCGGTTTCCGGCGGCTGCGGCCACAGGCGGCCCAGTGTCCGGTCCGGCCCCCATCGTGTGTGGCGGAGTACCTACAGGACCCGAGCCGTGGAACCCACGTGCTGACAGGTACCGCCTGTGAACCCTGTGAACGGGACACGCGCGCATAATCTAGTATGAATACACATACCCTTGGTTCCTTTGGGGTGTTTGGCGGTGGCTCGCACAGAGCTGGAGGCGAAGATAAACCCGGGTGTTGACGGCCTTTCACAGCCAAACAGGGAGAGGAGTTGATCGGAGGACACGCTAATCAAGCATTAACGGGACGTTGAATCGTGATTAGCGGGCCGAGGTGACACGACGCGACACCGAGCCAGTGGGGTCCAGGGAAGCGGGAGGGGGAGGGGGGGGGGGCGATAACGAGAAGGGTGGAGAAGAACAAACAGAACCGCGCCGGCCGCGCGGCGGCCCCGCCGTGGTCGGCCGATAACACGCGCAGTGTGAGCCGAGCCGCGGTGCACGAGGGGTGCGCGGAGTGTTTGCCCACCCACCATCCCCATCATCACCGTCCTGTCCTTTGTTCCAAACGACCCTCGTCGTCCACCCGGGTTTGACGAAGCGGTGGCTCGCACAGAGCTGGAGGCGAAGATAAACCCGGGTGTTGACGGCCTTTCACAGCCAAACAGGGAGAGGAGTTGATCGGAGGACACGCTAAGCCCATTGCGAAGTCCTGAAGTCCATGCCAGGTACTGAAAGCCCGATTTCAGGTGTTTGACCTGACCTTGACCCGACCTGTGACCTCAAAATTCAACTTTAAAGTACTCATCTGAAGCGTCTCGTCGCGTTCTTTCGTTTGTCGCCTCGTGCGTTTCGCTGCGCCTATTGGTTCTCGAGTTATCGGCTGGGGGCGTTTAACGCCCCCCCCCCCCCCCAGCAAACGGTGGGTGGCGAAATACCCCAGCAACTGCCGGGTTAATTTGTTGTAGCGATATTTTTTTCGCTTATTCCCCTCCCACCTAAAAACCCCTAAATATTATTATTAAATATTAGATATTAAATATTATTATTAAATATTAGCGGCCCTGGTGGCGCAGTCGGTTAAAGGGACCCTCCCACCTTCAAAAAAGTTAATGAATTGGCATGAAAGTGATGTCGCTCGGTTCAGAAAGAGCAAAAACGAATATCTACCAAATTTCATTGAAAAATATTCACCGGTTTTCAAGATATAAGACTTTTACTTTTGTTTACTTTATGGGATCTCCGCTGTTCCTAGCGACTTTATTTGAAAGTGCGGCATTTGTTGCGCGCAAAGCAGCATATACCACCGCGTGCTACCAAACGTTTTAGTAAAAGATTTAAAATCGTTAGATCTCCGCTGACGTCACAAATTCTAAGGGGGCATACCAATGCATTAGCCCCTTAGAATCCGAAAACTGCAAGTTTGAAATTCGATATCTCTGAATTAAAGCATTTTTCGATGCTGTGAGTGCCCAAACCGGTATTTTCAGGCCATGGCCACCAATTTGGCTATCTCAACTCAAATCTAATGTTAAGGTGGGAGGGTCCCTTTAAGGCGTCGACCCGCGGTGCGGGCGGTGCCGGGTTTCGGGCTCGATTCCCGGTTCCGCCCGTTCCGCGGGCGTCGTCCCCGGCTGCGTCACCAGGTGTGGGGTAGGCTCCCACTTCAGCCGTAGCCTGGGGGCGGGGAATAGGACGGAGGGAGGAGCAGGTGCTCTCTCCTCTACCTAATTGGGACATGAGCCCGTTGGAGAGAGGTCCGACTAAATAAAAAAGAAATATTGACCTAGAGTCGCCAGATTTGCAGAGGCAAGATTTCCTGCACTGAAAGCATTGCGATTTGCGAAGTTGCGACAATTTGGTTAGACCGTGCAGGGGCTCACTTATGACGTCATAGGCCAGGGACCTAACCTGACCTGAAAATTCAGCTTGTGTCAAAAGCTTTGGCTTAAATCAAAGAAAAGGTGTGCCAGCTTTTAGCTCTCCATTACCGACCGGCGAGTTCAGTCCATTACCGACCGGCGAGTTCAGACAAATGGCGAAAAACCGTCGGTGGGCGCCCCCCCCCCTTCCACCTTCGGCCGGTGCGGGTTAAGCATTCTCCCCTCCCCTGGCTGGCCTGTCGGGGGCATCCAACAGCCACTGAACCGGACATCACCCAGAATCCGCGCCTTAACGGAGCGGAAAGTCACGTGCCACCATTTGGCGGGCCAACCGGGCGCCGGGAGTCGGCGCGCGCGCGCGCGGGGCCGCCGGCGTCGTCCGTCGTCGGCCCGCAGAGCCGGCGAGCCAGCACACATCGATCGAGCTCGGCGGCAGCAGGAGCGTGCCGCTGTCGGCCGCGCTCAGCAGACATGTGCCAGTGAACGATGAACGGTGACCCGGCCACGATGGCGGCGCAGGCCGGCGCCGGCGTGGTGGACCTGAATGTGGGTGGCGTGCTTTACACGACGTCGGCGGCCACGCTGACCTCCTGCGCCGGCTCACTGCTCTGCCAGCTATTCTCGGGAGAGACCAGCGAGCCGCCGCTCCGCGACGCCAAGGGACGCGTCTTCATCGACCGCGACGGCGTGCTCTTCCGCTACGTTCTCGACTTCCTGCGCAGCCAGAAGCTGGTGCTGCCGGAGAATTTCCAGGAGTGCGACCGGCTGCTGGCCGAGGCCGAGTACTTTCAGCTGTCGGAGCTGGAGGAGGCGCTGCGCGCGCCCGGCGGCCGGCCGCGCGACCTGGCCACCCGCTCGCCCGGCTGCATCACGGTCGGGTACCGTGGCACGTTTGCGTTCGGCCGCGACGGCCTGGCCGACGTCAAGTTCCGTAAGTTGGCCCGCATTCTGGTTTCTGGCCGCGTGGCGCTGTGCCGCGAGGCGTTCGGGGAGACGCTGAATGAGTCGCGCGACCCGGACCGAGGCCACGTGGACCGCTACACGAGCCGCTTCTTCCTGAAGCACTCGTTCCTGGAGCAGGCGTTCGACATGCTGTACGACGCCGGCTTCCGGCTGACGGCCAGCTGCGGCTCCGGCACGGCCAGCATCTCGGGCATCTCGGACAAGCCGGGCTCCGACTCGGAGGAGAACCGCTGGAACCACTACAACGAGTTCGTGTTCATCCGCGACTGAGCGGCGCCCAGCTGCGCAGCCCAGGTGAGGGCCCGGCTGACGCCGGCGGCCGCTCATGGCGGCACGGTGAGAGCCCGCTGTGCGGCACCATGGGGCGGACCGCCGGCCTGAGCCGACGTCGGCCCCGCCGCCGGCTGAGAGGTGCCGACCGCTGTCGGACGGCCGGCCCGACCGGCGGCGCCCATTCCCGTGAGTGACGATAAGTGCGGTCCGGCGGCGAGCAGCCCCGCTCGGCGGCCGCGGCTCGGCCACCCGAACGATGGGTGCGCGCCGGCGACGCATTAGGACATTGCTTTCAACGGCGGGCGACTGCCAGACCTCTCATCAGCCGAGAGTCGAAGATGAATCGCTATGTAACGGCGGCCGGTGTGTTACGGCAGCTGTAAATGTCTGCCGGGGAAGCGCGCGCGCCGGCCCAATATCCGCCCCCCGGTGGTGGCCTAGATGCCGGCCTCCGGCGCCGCCTCCAGCGTGCAGCAACTTATCCAATAACCTGGAAAAGCGGCCGCCCGGAAACGTCTGCCGTGCCGCGGCTACCGATCTGGCCATCCAGGTAACAGTTGGCGCCGGCGGACGCTGTGCTGGCCGCTCCCGATCGCTAGCAAAATAGTTAGAAGGCAGCGACGCTGCAGAAATACCTCCGCAAAAACCCTTTTTTTAAACAGGGCACGACTAAATTCACCTTCATATATTATGAATCTGAATTTCCTCTTGATGGTCGGCTTATATTTTAGTGTACTTTTATTTGCCGGGTTAAGAATGTTATAGCAACGTAACTATTATAAATCTTAAAAAGTCCGCCGCCGCCCACGCCCACGCCGCCGTCGGGGTTACTCCCAAAAAGGCTTATTGCGGCGCCGTCGATTGACGCAGGACGGTGAAATTTTGACGACTCGTGGGTCACGTCATTCAACAGGTCGTATTAAATTTTGGGCACGATGCGGCCGGGGGTGCGCCCGTGGCGCGTGCTCATGTGCGCCATAGGGTTAGCATTAGAATCGGCAAAAACAGGCCATTGCTCGGGAACGGTAAGGGCTACGGGGGTGAAATTTTCACACCAAGTCGAGCGCGTGCACTCAATTGTCGTATTAAATTTTCGAGGGTGTGGGTTCAGCGGTGTGCACGTGGTGGGGCCGCGACCGGCGCCGAGCAGAAGGCACGTGCTTTAGGCTCAGCAAAGGCTCAGTTTCTTCGCTTGCAAAACTGAGCGAAATCAGAGCCGGGAGGTCGTTGACCTTTGGCAATGAATACCGACGCCGGGCACCGCTCGCCAAGATGATTCGCCAGTAAATACAATTAATTTGTTCTTGCAATATCTCAGCCGTTTCTAGGCCGATTTAGCTGAAACTTGGACTGTCGGTGGTAGTGTAGTGTAGGGTAGGGTAGGGTAGGGTAGGGTAGGGTAGGGTAGGGTAGGGTAGGGTAGGGGATTGTAGGGTAGGGTAGGGTAGGGTAGGGTAGGGTAAGGTAGTGTAGGGGTAGGGTAGGGTAGGGTAGGGTAGGGTAGGGTAGGATAGGGTAGGGTTGGGTAGGGGTAGGGTAGGGGTAGGGTAGGGTAGGGTAGGGGTAGGGTAGGGTAGGGGATTGTAGGGTAGCGTAGGGTAGGGTAGAGTAGGGTAGGGTAGGGGTAGGGTAGGGTAGTGTAGGGGTAGGGTAGGGTAGTGTAGGGGTAGGGTAGGGTAGTGTAGGGGTAGGGTAGTGTAGGGTAGGGTAGGGTAGGGTAGGGTAGGGTAGGGTAGGGTAGGGTAGGGTAGGTTAGGGTAGGGTAGTGTAGGGGTAGGGGTAGGGTAGTTTAGGTTAGAGTAGGGTAGGGTAGGGTAGGGTAGTGTAGAGGTAGGGTAGGGTAGGGTATGGTAGGATAGTGTAGGGGTAGGGAAGGGTAGGGTAGGGTAGTGTAGGGTAGGTTAGGGTAGGGTAGGGTAGGTTAGTGTAGGAGTAGGGTAGGGTAGGGTAGGGTAGGGTAGGGGTAGGGTAGGGTAGGGTAGGGTAGGGTAGGGTAGGGTAGGGTAGGGTAGGGTAGGGTAGGGTAGGGGTAGGGTTAAGTTCAAAAAGTGCCTAACATACAAAACACTTGAACACCCCGCACCTATCACTTCACGACTCGTGGGTCACGTCATTCAACAGGTCGTATTAAATTTTGGGCACGATGCGGCCGGGGGTGCGCCCGTGGCGCGTGCTCATGTGCGCCATAGGGTTAGCATTAGAATCGGCAAAAACAGGCTATTGCTCGGGAACGGTAAGGGCTACGGGGGTGAAATTTTCGCTGTAAGTCGGACGCGTACACTAATTTGTCGTATTAAATTTTCGAGGGGGTGGGTTCAGCGGTGTGCACGTGGTGGGGCCGCGACCGGCGCCGAGCAGAAGGCACGTGCTTTAGGCTCAGCAAAGGCTCAGTTTCTTCGCTTGCAAAACTGAGCGAAATCAGAGCCGGGAGGTCGTTGACCTTTGGCAATGAATACCGACGCCGGGCACCGCTCGCCAAGATGATTCGCCAGTAAATACAATTAATTTGTTCTTGCAATATCTCAGCCGTTTCTAGGCCGATTTAGCTGAAACTTGGACTGTCGGTGGTAGTGTAGTGTAGGGTAGGGTAGGGTAGGGTAGGGTAGGGTAGGGTAGGGTAGGGTAGGGTAGGGGATTGTAGGGTAGGGTAGGGTAGGGTAGGGTAGGGTAAGGTAGTGTAGGGGTAGGGTAGGGTAGGGTAGGGTAGGGTAGGGTAGGATAGGGTAGGGTTGGGTAGGGGTAGGGTAGGGGTAGGGTAGGGTAGGGTAGGGGTAGGGTAGGGTAGGGGATTGTAGGGTAGCGTAGGGTAGGGTAGAGTAGGGTAGGGTAGGGGTAGGGTAGGGTAGTGTAGGGGTAGGGTAGGGTAGTGTAGGGGTAGGGTAGGGTAGTGTAGGGGTAGGGTAGTGTAGGGTAGGGTAGGGTAGGGTAGGTTAGGGTAGGGTAGGGTAGGGTAGGGTAGGGTAGGTTAGGGTAGGGTAGTGTAGGGGTAGGGGTAGGGTAGTTTAGGTTAGAGTAGGGTAGGGTAGGGTAGGGTAGTGTAGAGGTAGGGTAGGGTAGGGTATGGTAGGATAGTGTAGGGGTAGGGAAGGGTAGGGTAGGGTAGTGTAGGGTAGGTTAGGGTAGGGTAGGGTAGGTTAGTGGAGTAGGGTAGGGTAGGGTAGGGTAGGGTAGGGGTAGGGTAGGGTAGGGGTAGGGTAGGGTAGGGTAGGGTAGGGTAGGGTAGGGTAGGGTAGGGTAGGGTAGGGTAGGGTAGGGGTAGGGTTAAGTTCAAAAAGTGCCTAACATACAAAACACTTGAACACCCCGCACCTATCACCAACCCTTACAGTTTAATTAAAAACAGCTACCCAAATCTATCCAAATAATACATCTAAAAATACAAGTCAATCACCCAAACTAATGCACCCGTATCATAACATAAATCAAAACATACAGTTATCGCGTAAACCTGTACCTCTAGTCTACTATTATAAATCTTAAAAAGTCCGCCGCCGTCGGGGTTACGCTGCCGGCGTGACGCCCAAAAACGGCTATTGCGGCGCCGTCGATTGACGCACGAGGGTGAAATTTTTACCACTCGTGGGTCACGTAATTCAACAGGTCGTATTAAATTTTGGGCACGATTCGGCCGGGGGTGCACCCGTGGCGCGTGCTCATGTGCGCCATAGGGATAGCATTAGAATCGCGACCGGCGCCGAGCAGAGGGCACGTGCTTTAGGCTCAGTTGTTCGCTTAAAAAACTGAGTGGAAATAATCAGAGCCGGCAGGTCATTGACCTTTGACAACGAAGGCCGACACAAGGCACCGCTCGCCAAGGGGATTTGCCAGTAAATACAATTAATTTGTTTTTGCAATATCTCGGCCGTTTCTGGGCCGATTTAACTGAAACTTGGACTGTCGGTGGTAGTGTAGTGTAGGGTTGGGTAGGGTAGGGTAGGGTAGGGTAGGGTAGGGTAGGGTAGGGTAGGGTAGGGTAGGGTAGGGTAGGGTAGGGGTAGGGTAGGATAGGGTAGTGTAGGAGTAGGGTAGGGTAGGGTAGGGTAGGTTAGGGTAGGGTAAGGTAGGGTAGGGTAGGGTAGGGTAGGGTAGGGTAGGGTAGGGTAGGGTAGGGTAGTGTAAGGGTAGGGTAGGGTAGGGTAAGGTAGGGTAGGGTAGGGTAGGGTAGGGACTAGGGTAGGGTGGGGTAGGGTAGGGTAAGGTAGCTTAGGGTATGGTAGGGTAGTAGGGTATGGTAGGGTAGAGTTAGGTAGGGTAGAGTTAGGTAGGGTAGGGTAGGGTAGGGTAGTAGGGTAGGTTAGGGTAGTAGAGTAGGGTAGGGTAGGGTAGTAGGGTAGGGTAGGGTAGGGTAGGGTAAGGTAGGGTAGGGTAGGGTAGGGTAGGGTAGGGTAGTAGGGTAGGGTAGGGTAGGATAGGGTAGGGGTAGGGTAGGGGTAGGGTTGAGGTAAAAAAGGGCCCAACATACAAAACACTTGAACACCCCGCAACTATCACCATCCCTTACAGTTCAATTAAAAACAGCTACCCAAATCTACCCAAATAATACAGCTAAAAAGTCAATCACCCAAAACTGCACCCGTAACATAACATAAATCAAAACATACAGTTATCGCGTAAACCTGTACCTCTAGTAGCCATAAAATGTCAGTTGTCATTTGCACGGTGTGTGATTTTTTCTCGGTGAACTCAGCCAAAAACAAGGTTATTGGAGCGAGACTTTCGACATTTCGCTTGCAGATCCGCTTGAAATGCTTTCATTAATACAAACCGAGTAGGGCTATTCTCAGTTTTACAATTATTTCAATTTGCAACGTCTCATATGGTTTCAAAGAAATGGAACATCCTAACAATCTTGTCCGAGATTTTTCAGGGTCAATGTAAAATAAACATTGAACCAGGAAACATGAGACATCACTTGGTCTTTGTGACGCAAATCCGTGGGACCATTGCTGCAAATATATCAGTTTTAGTTGAAACGTTTCGAGACCTATTTTACTTATAACATTTTGTCAAAAGCTATAAACGCAAACTCCGAGATGCGGACGACTAGAGTCGCCGCGAATCGGCCGGCCGCTCCGAGGCTGCGCCTTTGTGCGGCGACTGGCGGTTTGCTGTGACGACCAAACTGCTGGTGACGGTGCTCGTCCCAGCCGGCCTGTCTCAGTCTGTGATGGCCGCGGCCCGAGCCGTGCACGTATAGTTCGGCTAGCGGCGGCGGCGGCGGCGGCGGCGCGGTGCCCGGCCGCGGTGTTTGGCATATTGTGAACCGTGGACGCTGCCAATCGATAACAGCGAACCGTTAAACAGAGCCCTGGCTATATCCATGAACTCCACGGTGCTAAATCAACGTCATCTCACAGTTTAAGCAGTTCATGACTTGTCTGAGCATAACAGAGCTTAAAGTTTGGTAGACCTTTGTTGTTGCTTCTGTCGGCCTACCACTTCCCAGTGTGCATTCAAAGTTTCCAAAACTTGTCGTGCCCTGCGGTATGACATCAGCCGCCCTGAGGCCGCGAACCGTGGCCACACACCGCCGCCCCCGCCGCCGGACAGCGCCGCCCCCATAGACAGTCGGCGCCGCACGATATTTCAATGTGTTTCTTTGTAAGCTAGTGAGGGGCGGTTAGCGCGTGAAGCCAGTCGTCTGCTGGCGGGTTGAGAGAGTCGATAGTAGGCGACTAGCGATGGGTGCCGATGGTGAGGTCTGTTGGACGCGATCGGGACGGTATGGACCCTGATGGGTGCGATCGGGATGGTATGGACCCTGATGGGTGCCGATCGGAGTGGGGTGTGAGCCCGGGCGGGTGCCGATCGGAGTGGGGTGTGAGCCCGGATGGATGCCGATCGGAGTGGGGTGTGAGCCCGGACGGGTGCCGATTGGGGTGGAGTGTGAGCCCGGCCAGCCAGCGGACCGAGTTCGGCCTCCTATCTGTCGGCGGTGAGGCCTCAGTGCTCTCTGTTCGCTGTTACGAACGCCGTTAATGTTAGCGTGTGTTTGAACGTACGTGTAGTTGGAAATTACACTATGCTGCTAATACAGTACGAAAATGTCCAGCGGTTTTTCCAGCAGTCGAAATCAGCACAAATGTCGGATGTGGATCCGCACCTGCACGGTTAAAGGGAATAGTTCACGTTCCTCAAATTAGTTTTTTTCAATGTATTTACAATTTCTTGCTCAAAATGATCAGAAAACAAACCTTTTAAAAAGGTTATTTTCTATATTTTGGTATAGAAAACCCGTTTTTATCTTAATTAATTAGAGGCTACGTACCTACTATTTGCAGCGGAAGGTAACGATGCATTGACGATGCCAACTCTGTGACAGGTGGCTGCATTCCTGGCATTCTTCTACTATGGACACATTTCTTTAGGGTAAGGTGCCTAATTAGCGACTCTTTCCGATTTGCGACCTACCTCCCTACAGAAAAACTGGCAGGAGAAAACGGGGTAAAAACATCGTCAAAAGGTCAGCCATACTTTGGTTATCAAATTAAATTTTTTCCGGTCGTCGATGTTTCTGGTGGGACGTTTCAGGTGAGTTTAAATAAAAATGACGAGTTTCTTATCCAAAACGTGTGTTTGGTCCCTCTCTGATGAAAAGCGATGCACATTAGGATGATGCACCTTTTTTATTCTGAATCGACATTCCTTTTTTAATTGATTGCCGTTTTCCCATAGTGAATCGCTCAACTGTACACAGCATGGCGGTTAAAAATGTGTCGCAACTCATATTTCCTATTTGCGCCTGACATGGTCCTGACGTAGCTCAAGAAGGGAAAGAAACGGGAAAAGAGAGAAATGAAAATGAGGTGTTACTGAAGCTTGCAATGTGTGGCAGGGGATGCCAAATGTCCTCACCGACTGCAGGGGTGCCGAATTCAGCGCGGAGCTCGAATATCATACAAGATAGCCCGCAAAATTTGTGTTTCCGCCTTCTTTTCGCCTTCGGTGCATCACGTGATCAGTTTTTACTCACGTAAATGTGTTGGATAAACGTTCCTGTTCGAGTGATTGAGTGCTTTGCGTATAGGTTACCTTTTTGAGATCATATTTCATCTTTTCAGGCGTCGCATTTTTTGCCATTTTTAATATGGGGAAACCCATGACTTATTAGCGACCCTCCCCGGTCGCTAATCGGGAAGAGTTCCCTATTAGCGTTTTTTTTTTTTTTGCAATGGTTTGCCATTATGCTCACTACAAATAAGTTAGTGAATAGGTATTGGGGCAGAAAATGACTATATTTTAATAGAAAAATGAACGATCTCTCTGAAAATCAAGCCAGTAACACAGTGGCACCCACAGAGCGTGAGCAATGACGGTTCAAATTAAGGGGGTCGCTAATTAGGCACCTTACCCTACATGTGACTCTTTTCAGAACCAGAAATGGATTGCTTTGCCAAGTGTGGTCGCTGGGGCGGAAAAAGCTCCTGATTTGTGCTAGTCTCAGCTCAAGCTACAAAACTGCTATTCCAGTTCAAAATCCCATGTCAAAAGTGATATATTTCCTTCAACCCGCTCCCTAGTGGGGGGGGGGGGGCTATTTTGCCCCCCCCCCCGACTTTTCGACATATCTCCAGAACCGCTACGCCAATCATCACCAAACCCTCAGTACCCTCCCGGGCATCAATTTTACACATTGTGACCAAAAACTTTCCGAAAGCTATGATAGGCTGGCCGCAAAAGACGTCAGAGTGACGTCATGTTCTGCCGTTTTCGACCCCAAAAAGGTTTCGCGAGAAGAGCTATCAGGGTTATAGCTTTGGAGATACAGAAAAGCTTTTAGGACATAAAAGGTGTAGAATTAGCAAGGCTACGAAACTGCTATCTCGGAATTTTTATTTTTTTGAATTTTGACCCCCCAAAGAAATTTCTTTTGAATATAATTTCAAAAAATCCAAAAACGTTTTTCGATTTTCAAAAAAATCGGAATAACTATATGTGATATCCCTTACCGACTTCTATTCACATACCAAATTTTAGATCGCTATCTCTTTTTTTGGCCAAGTTGGAGCGAAAAAACCTGTTCAAAATTGATGACGTTAAATTTTCAAGTTCAATTTTTAGCAATTCTAGACCACGTAGCACAAAACAAAGACAACCGTGACGAGCTGCATCGAAAGACTCGCCGTGACGAGCTGCATCGAATCAATATACCCATTTTATGCAAAAATATCAACTTTGAAATTTCACCTTTTTTGACCTGACCTTGACCTAACCTGCACCAGAAAGTGACCTAAACCGTTCCTGATGGTCTTATAACCACCACCATTGAGTTTGAAATGAAGAAATTGGCCATAAAACATGCATCATATGCTGACCCTTGGTGACCTGACCTGATATTATCAGTGCCCTCCAAAAGCAACATATGTACGTAAAATTTGGGGACAGAGTATGTATATCTTCCTCCTTCCTCGCCCTTTCCGGATTACCTAAATACTTTTCAAGCCACTTACCTTTCAGCCAAATGGACCACTCATCTTTCTTATTTTGTAAATATTTCTGCCGTCTCTTGTATCTGGCTTTCCTAGCACGCGTCGGCATTATTAATGAGGCTGAACCGGCTGAACTGTCAAATTAAGTTCAAACCAACCACTCAGGAAATGAGGAAACAACTGGAATATTTTTCACAATAGGTTGGTACCCTCGTGACTCGAATCCTGCGTAATTAACACGTGACATTAATTCCATATTCTAACACAATATATGTAGCATCGAGGCCAAAATCACTAGAGCACAGTCGAGCTCGTGGTATTGACCTAATAACAGAGCCAAGGCCCGAACAGAGCCATTGTATGTGACCTTGTAAACTTGTTGTAAATGACAAAGGGTTCAGTTGGGTGTTTATTTTGGTTGTCATGGTAACCGGAAACAAGTTGCACATTTGTGCCCGTTGCACATATGCTTCTTGACAGACGATTCACGACTCAACATTTCTATCATAAATAGATGTTTCATCGAAGTGTTGGATTCAAAACATCCATGAAATATAGGTGAAAAAGCATGACATTGTTGTACCATTTTCCATATTTTCTTAGGTCATCTCTATTTGGTAATTCAATAATGGCCCGCTATTGATAATGTCGACCCAGTCGGTTTTGTGGCTTTTGTGTTTTACGCTTTATAAAGCCGTCAGCGAAGATTGCACCGATAAAATCGTCATCAGTGTCAGGATATGGCAATGTTTAGGTATAAAAAAACATATCCCATAGGTCAGCCTTTTGTGATCAGCCTACCACATAAGTAGGTACATATGCATAAATACCGTTACGTGCTACATCCACAGCTAAGCTGGGGGGATCCGTGCTATCGTAAGTTATATCGGACGTGGCTGCGAAACTTCTCTCGGTACGAAACTTCTCTTGATCGGAAGAAAATCGGAGGGATGAAAAAGAAAGAGCGGCCCATCGGAGCTACGTTGTACGTAAGTTGTTTCGCAGCGTTTAAATGCCAGTTTTACTACGATTTAAATGCCAAGCAGATCAGCTGACCTCGTAGTACCATGTCGATAAGGTCGAATTCCCCGATCGTCTGTAGTGTAAAAGTGACCCCTATTGCAAATGGGCTGTCAGGGACATCTCCTCCTCTGTTAATTTGGAGGGATCATGTGTCGGCATTCCCACGTTCGTTTCGGAGTCCATCTGTTCCATTTGGAGCCCGTCAGTTGGCGTCAAGAGTTGGCGCAGCGAGCGCCCCGAAGACTGCGTCTGCGCACGAGGCTTCGCGATGGAGGAGTATTTTGACGAAATCGCCCTCGCTGCAGAAGAAATAGAGGGACTTGTTGAGAAAGAGGAGGCCGCAGTGTGCCGACGACTTTAAACTGTACGCCAACGACCAAACGACCAAGGCAATCAGGGGGCGCTCAGATGATCGGGAGGTTTCAATTGATCAGGGATCCACCAGGTGACCAGGGAACCCTCTGATAACCAGGGGCCCTTCGAGTAACCAGGGACTCCTTCAATAACCAGGGACCCCTCAGTAAACGGGGCCCGGGGGCCACTCAGGTTACTGCAAGAGACAGGGGTCCCTTATAACCAGGAACCGGCAAGGTGGTCCGTTTTTGACAAAGCTGTTATTGACGTCATGTGCGAGCCCTTTGCCACCAGCAGAGGGCCCTTTCAAGCCTTTATAGGGCCGTTTAACGTCTCTTGAGTTTCCTTTGAGGCTAAGGGCCTCTTCAGCAGCCGAGGGGTCTCTGAGGCCTTTTTGAGGGCCTCTTAACGTCAGCTGAGGACCGTTGGACGTCATCTGAGGACCGTTTGGGGCCTTCTGATGGCCAGTAGATGCCAACTGAGTGCTCTCTGACACCAGCTGAGGGCACCTTGACACCAACTGGGGGCCTCCTGACACCAGCTAAGGGCGCTTTTATATTTGACATGCGCTCAGGGCCCTTTGACGCCCTTTGAGACCTTCTGAGGTCCGTTTGACGCCAGCAGAGGACCCTTTGGGGTCATATGAGGGCCCTTTGCTGCCTTCTAAGCGAACTTTGAGGCTTTTTGATGGCCGCTTGACGCCAACTGAGGACCGTTGCGGTTGGACTCCAGTTACGGACCGTTTGATGCCTTCTGATGGCCATTTCGCGCCAACTAAGGGCCCCTGACACTAGCTGGGGGCCCTCTGACACCAGTAAGGGCCTTTTAAGGCCTTCTGAGGTCCGGTTAACGCTAGCGGAGGGCCTTTTGAGGCCAAATGAGGGCCCTTTGAGACCTTATAAGGGCTCCTTGAGGCTTTTGAGGGCCGCGTGACGGCATCTGAGGACCGTTGTACTCCAGATGAGACCGTTTGAGGCCTTCAGATGGACTTTTGGCGCCAGCTGAGGAGGGCTCACTGACACCAGCTGAGGCCCTCTCACACAAGCTAAGGACTCTTTAAGGCCTTCGGAGGGTCGTTTGACGCGAGCTCAGGGCCCTCTGACGCAGGTTTAGGGCCCTTTGATGCCCTTTAAGGTCTTCTGAGGTAGGTTTAACGTTGGCTGAGAGCCCTTTGAACCCATCTGAGGGCCCTTTAAGGCCATCTTTGGCCCTTCATTTGGCCATCTGAGGGCTCTTTGACACCAGATGAGGGCCATTTGACGCTAACCGAGGGCCCTTCGAGACCATCTGAGGACCCTGTGACCCCATCTGTGGGCCCTTTGAGGTCTTTTGAGGACCATTGAAATTTCGCCACAATACCCTTGGCTGCGCTACTGGGCATTTATGGACTCGTATGGGCCTGCTGGAGAACGAGATGGGCCCTCCCGGTCTTTTCAATCATTATTTCAGTTCATTTTGCATGGTCTTCGGCGGTCTAAAGATTAGGGGCCCCAACTCGAATGGGGGGGGGGGGAGGCCCGTGTGCCCTCTCCTGTGTGCGGCCTTGCCGACACTACACCGCTTCCCCTCCCTCCGCCATAAACGCACCGCTGTTAGGCGCCGACAAATACGGACCGGCGCCGCCACCGGCTCCCCCGCGGCCTGCCTCGCGTTGACATAGCCCTTCCCGAACACCAGTGTAACCCCCACGCGGCCTAGGTATCGCCGCGCCCACCTGTCCGCGGCGCGGCCTCTGATGGCGTATCGGATCATTGATGGTGCGATACATGTTTTGGGTCAGATTTTCGCAATTAACGCGAAAAATTGCCCAAAACACTTTTTAAATTTCAAAATTGAAATAAACATAATTTCAAAAATGACGTGAAAGTGACCGTTTTCAACGTGTAAATATAAAACGCTCTAGCGCCGCCATTTTTGAAGAAATCGACTTCAAATTTTGCACACGTGTTCATCAACCATATTTGTTTAACATATATTTCGGTTTTGTGAAAATTTTAAAAATTTCTTATATTTTTCTATTGAGAAAGAGGTAAAACTTCGCTACGATCGGCCTTCCGATCGACCGAGAAGAATCGTAAAGTTATTTCGTATGTTCACCATTTGCGATACAACTTGCGTAACTACTTAGCCTCCGATTCGATGGATCCCTCCAATATCTGCTCCGATACAACTTACGTTTGATCGCAACTGCGATGTGCCTTGCGATCACATGGATCCCCCCAGCCTTATTAGTATTTTACGCATGTACTTACTAGCAAGTAGGTACCGCCACACGCCACCCGCAGCAGCTCTCGGCGCCGGGGATTCGTTCTCCCGCGTCAGGTACCGGTCGACACGTGTCGGCTCTCGGCGCGCTGATAAGGAGAAGTGACGGCTCGGAGCAGTCCGGTCAGGTTCGGCGCTGGTTGCGTGAGCCGCTCAACAGGCTGATGCTGCGACCGGCAGGGACGGACGGCGGTGGATCGTGCGGGGTCGATAGGCCGGCCACCGCTGGTGGATTTACATTGGATATGGGCTGTCTGTCGGTGTCAGACACCCACACAGGATGGCCGGCCGCGCCGCGACCCCACCGCTGCCGCCGCGGGCTACCGACGGGACGCCCCGCCAGTTCACACGAGAAATCCACCGACCAACTCAGTGAATTCTCCTCAAATTGACATTCCTCAGTCCTGTCATCAGAGGGGTTCGACAAATTTCAGAGAACCTCAAATTCTTGCTTTATTTCTTTCACGGCTTTCACGGCTCTGTCGTCTGCGAGAATAAAGTCCAGCAAAATACAGCACTCGGCCAGTTCAGAAAGTCTCCGCTAAGCTCCTTCCTATATCCGCATTTCTATAGCAAAATGAGCTGATACTGTGCAATCGCTGGAAGAGCACTGCCTATTCGAAATAATACGGAGTAAATCTGTGTAGCGCTCCATTCGGCGTGCGCTGGCCGCCGATGCACGGTTCCATCTACTCCAACCAGGGCGGTGTTTTTCTGTCGAGCAGAGGCTCCATTTCGGCGAGCAGAGCTGGCGGCTGACGAGGCACCGTCGTCTTCCGAGCATACATACACCGGCGATAGATATCGACCGGCGGCGGCGGCGGCGGCAAACGGGGCGCACGGCGGCAAACATCGCCCACTGATCAGTCCCCGTCCCAGTCCATACACCCGCCGCGCAGGGCACAGACGGAGCGGGGCGCCGCCAAAACTCTACAGACCTCTGCACCGAGTGACGAAAATCGAGACCACACCGCTCAAACGCATCGGAGCTGTACCCGAACAGCTCTTACACCGGGGCCGTGCCGAAATTGGTGCTATGAGTTATCAACTTATCACCCATCCTCGTGACAAGCTCAGTCACACCTCTCTACCGTCAGGTCGCGAGAACTCGGCTGGAGGCTCCATTAGTTGCCTGTGGCTTTTGTCCCCGCCGGGCATATCGTCCCGTTCACCACCACTCGACACCGGCTAACGGCGCGGTGGCCGACCACTGGTCAGCACTGGTCAGCACTGGTCAGCACTGGTCAGCAGCAAGGCTGGGAGAGAGAGAGAGAGAGAGAGGGGGGAGAGAGAGATAGAGGGAGAGAGAGAAAGAGAGAGAGAGAGAAAGAGAGAGAGAGAGAGAGAGAGAGAGAGAGAGAGAGAGAGAGAGAGAGAGAGAGAGAGAGAGAGACAGAGAGAGAGAGAGAGAGAGAGAGAGAGAGAGAGAGAGAGAGAGAGAGAGAG